TCAGAAGTGCAGATGACAGAGGTCTGCCTTGCAAGATCAAGTCACTGAGAAGTCAAGGGAAGCAGAGAGAGTCTAAAGGAGAGAGAAGATCTACCCCCCAGTGCTGCTTCTCCTGTCACTGTGTTTCCTTTGGAGATTCCCCCTGTTCCCTTTGAATGGGGGGAAGAAGGAGTATGACACAGATGAAGTACAAAATGCAGTTACTAACCCAAGCAGAAAGGTTGCAGTGTTCAAGTAACTGCAATCAAAGATAAATCTAAAAAGCAAATCTTTCACCAGGTTACTCACAGCTCCATGTAAGGAAGAGCTGTTTCTTAAGAGTGTTGAGAGAAAGAAAGAAAGAACCCTGAGATACCTTCTCACTACTAGAGCTTTCTCTAGGAGCAGTGAGGACTCCTTCCCCACGACTTCCAGTCAGAACTGAAGTTGACATGAGCTGTCTGCTCACCAAGCCACAGCAACAACTGGTATCCACAATGCATCATGGAGGCTGGGACAATTCCACAAACAAGGAAGGAAGAAACAGCTTCCCATAACACTCTTCATCCTTGGAAAACTTAAGTCCCTTCTGCTTCAAAAAGACCGTTCCTTAATCTTTCTCCATTTATTATTGCATTATATAAATTCAAGACCTTTATACATCATCAGCAACATCATACTTAGAAATCTACACATTAAAACCAAGTCCAAGCAAATCCATCCCATGCATATGTCTCTACCAGTCTCAACTGAAATTTCAATGGGGATAAAACCAGAACTCTTGGACTAACACTTGTCTCAGGAAGAAAAACAGACAAAAAACCCAAACCGGAACCCTACAAATGATGGACAGCATCAATCTGTCAAGAAATTCCTGAAACAACTCAGAGGTGTGGTAGGAAAGTCATCATAATTTTCCAAGTGGCTACAATCAAGATGAAGTTTAAGTCAGTCTTCCCTGATCAAGTTACACAGAAATAGGAAGGCTACTGAAGAAAGATCTAGAAAGTTGGGACAAAATATATAGAGTGAATTGTCAATATGCTCTTAGTTTGCGAACTCTCCCTTATCCCAGCTGTAGTTGGGATTCTTCCTGGATGTGTTTAATCCAATTTCTACCCTGTTGACTAATGTAGACCTAAAAAACAAGGAACACAGATGCTGGAGCACCCCTGCATGGCACTTGGTGCTATTCTGAAAGCTGGATCCCATCTCTACAGTAGACATTAATCAGTCTGCAGGGAAATAGCTTTGTTTACCAGTTCTGCTACGGAGGTTAAACAGAAGGAGAAGGAAATGTTTCCTTTGGAAGGAACACATATGGCTCATACTAACTGCTGATGTCTATGAAACATGGGCTTTGTCTTCCTATCCCTCCAATCAACTTCACAGAAACATATTAAGTTGGACTGAGAGAAGAGGAAGAGGAGTTAAAGCTCTTGTGAGAGTGGATGAGTGCTTGTAATCTCTTTGCCATGGCTTTTCTCATACCCCCACCTAATGATTAAAACTAAGTTAAAGCAACTCACTGAACCGGGCAATGAAACAGAGCAACAAGAAGATCAAGTAATTCCCAGCCAGATGCAAGCACCAAGGAAGGGAGCATCGTATTGCCTCCACCACTGAGACTGCAAAGAAATAACAAACTGTATGTGGCTTTTCCAGACACCCCACAAAGCCATTCTCCCTTGTTCAGTAATTCCAAAGGCAGCATAACCTTCCTAAGTGGCTCACAGGCACACACACACCCCCATTCTGTGCTGGGGTGGTGTTCAGAAGTGCAACACCATTACATGCTTTATTAAACCTGTAAGTAGCTTCTTGTGGTACAGGACATGTAAACTCTGCAGACTGAATCTACTTGTGTGAGCTGGAAGAACAGGGAAGGAGGTAGCAGGCAACCCAATTGTCACAGCTTCTGACACTGATGGCAGCACCACCAAGAGTCTTTCTCCTGTTCACAAGGTGGTAACTTTGAGGACCCTGATTAATGTGTATTTCTCAGGCAGATGAATTCAAATCTACACAGCATCTTCCATGATCCAGATGAGACTGATAAGTAGCTGGAAGGCATGAAAATTCCCATCTGAATTTATTAATGCAGACTAGAAAAAGTAGTTTGAAACACTAAAATCTAAAAGACACATAGACCACAGCTGAGCTTATCTCCTAAGTGGTTCCAAGGCAGGGAATGGACTCAGTCTTCCAGCCACCCTGATGGCTAAAGAGGAGAGCTGCAGTGCAGTGTCTACTCTTCACATCAACACTGCAATCTCAGAAGGCTGGTATTGGATGAGCTTTAAGGTCCTTCCAACCCAAACCATTCTGGGATTCTATCATTGATTTAGGCATCCAGAATATCTGAAAGGGATCAGGGAAAAAAAACCAAAACAACAAACCAAACAAACAACTGCAAACAAATGTGCTACACACACATAGAGTTCAAAATGTCATTCACAGCCTTACCTAATGTGACAGGCGTCCTGGAAGGACACCATCATTAAGAGAGACCTTAAATGCTAAGATTACAGACAATTTCCACAGCATTTTAAACGATTTTACACAAGCAAACCCTATGTTTAGTTCACAATGTAAGTGCCATGCAGCTTTTACTTAAAAGAAAATTACAGAGAAGGAGCTTTCCATTCACATGTGATCAGTGCAGCGAGAATCAGACCCTCAGGGTTTGTGGAAAACTACCCTGCACAAAATTGGCTTAAATTACTATATGTGCAATGGTGAGAGATAAGAAATAGAGAAGAGCTATTTCCACTGGAGCACCAAAGGATGGTAAAGTGTACAGACGGAAATGATAGGTTTCTCTGGCTTGACTATTATGATTCTAGTGTGCTAAGAGTACAATGAATGTATTGTCATTCATACAAGCCTTACAACAGAGTCAGGAGACAGGAAGGTATTAGCATACCCAGCAAATAGCTGTCTATAGAACAGCATTTTCACGGCACTACCAACGCATCTCCTGCCACCAAATAGACTGTAATGATTTGAAACTAATACGGTGATAATCTTTTGTATAAGGTTTCCAGTAATTACTTGACAATAAGACACTGTCCTTAGTAAAGATGTTCACATACACAAGTAAGGGGAGGATTTAGGGGTGGGAAAGGGGGGCAGCAATTGGATGTTTAATTTCATTGATCATTTTTCAATTCAACTTATCACTTGCTGAAATAAGTTTCTATTGTTCCAATTTAGGGTGAGAAAGTATCTCAAAGCAAAACTTCTCTTTCTGTATCTACCAGATCTTATCATTCAATATAGAGCAATGTAAATTACTCTTTCCTTTCTCGATGCTACAATAAAACATTGTACACACAGGGAAGCAAACAGATCTTTACATTAAAAAAGATACACAGATACACTTTTAAATCTTAACCTCTGTTGAAGAAATCCCCTGTGGTTTGATGTTCAGCTGATCAAGAGGAAAGCACATGAGAGGCAGAGTATTAGCTTGGATTTAGTGGGTTAGGGGCAGGACTCTCAGATGAGCGAAACTTCAATTACAGCCTAATTTGATGTATACCCAAGTACATGATTGCAATTCAATGAACATCTCTTCAGAATTAAACAATTCCAGTTTGTTTTCAGCTCAGCCTGTGTGCCTGCATTACAGATTTGCTATTATCCCCACTAAAATCAGTCAGGCTCTGGAAGCACTCATCCGTGCAACCCCAGCGTGTCACAGTGCTGCAGCAAAACTAACCTCCACTGAGCCACCCAACCTTACCTGCTTCCTACATAACCACACCACTCTTCTAACATTTCTTGTAGCTGGCTGCCTGCCAGAGTAACCCAGCAGTGAATCCAGCAATGTCTCTCCTGATGGGCATCCAACCATTCATGGTTATAACTTACCTTTCTGGTTTTTAACCTTCTTATATCAATGAATATGAAAGGGTTGGGCACCTACTCAACTATGCTGATATTTGGCTGCTCTAGAAGATTGCCTTCCCTCTGTTTAGCTATGATACAACACTAGATATGCTATTCCTGGCAACTCGGTCCCATTCTAACCATGAATTAATTCCTTCAGATTTGAACAAGATGCAAGATCACCAAGGGGGAATTAAAAGCACTTGTCATGTAATAGAAGTGTGATCTGTGTAGTCTGAATATCTGCTCCACGCAACACTCTATAGTCAAGGCATTGTAAAAGCATCAGTGCACTGATCATCACATGAGAGACTAAGTTGGCAGAAAGTAGGACAGTGGACAAAGTGATCTCGTTTCTGCAGCAGTCCTCTATTTGCAGAGAAGTGAAATGTTTAAATCAATAACATTATACTCTGAGCAATCCCATACTTCAAACTCCTCCAACCTCTTATCATCCCCACCCCAAATACAGAATGTCTCTGGAACCACCTTCTGATCTCCCCACCTAAGAGTCAGTGGGTGTCCCTAAGGTGCAGCTCAGGGTCAGTTAAAAAAAATAAAGAGAAAAGCAGCTCACTGAACAGCACTTCACCACATGAAGGCAGGATTAAGACACATCTTGCATATGTCAGGCGCAGTAACAGCTCTCGAATCACAGTAAATAACAAAGGTAAGCACCTACTATCCTTGAAGAACTACTGATGTTCTCCTGTGCACTTCAGGACACCAGCAGAATCAATCCCAGCATTTACTCCCGGCAGCCCTGAGCAGACTCGCCTGACATGCAGTGCTCCATCACAAGATGATTTATGCCTGATAAAGTATTGTAAAGGCAGGCAGATGAAGCTGACTGACAGCCAAACTGTTAGCTGACTACAGTAAAAGTATCCATAATTACCATGCACTACTCCAAAGGCTTACAAAGAGGGCTGTATCCAGACATAGCTCCAATTCAAACATTCCTTTTGATAATATGATTGAAATTCATGTCACTTTTACCCTTTTTTCTTGCCTAAATTAAATATGAATGAAAGAAGAAGGTCCAATAGGCTGTCAGGTTTCTACACAGTTGCCATCTGGGAGGAAATACTCATCTTGCATAAACTTGCTGGTTTAATGCAACCTACCTTTGACTATTAATTCTGCATAATTGGAAACTCCAGATCCACCGTCGGAGCGAATGACGCAGCGGTACTTGCTGACGCTGCGCTGGGAGGTGTCAGCCACGCTCACCGTGGCAGAAAAGCGTCTGTGGTTGACCACTCGAGTGACCATCAGTGCCGTGTCCCTTCCATTCCACTGCTGCAAAGGCAGACAAAGATAATGCAAGTCATGAAGACACCCAGATCATGCACCCATGCGCGGTCCATTCCTTGTTACGCTTCTTTCCTGTGAGGGTGCTGAGGCGCTGGCACAGGGTGCCCAGAGAAGCTGTGGCTGCCCCATCCCTGGCAGTGTTCAAGGCCAGGCTGCACACAGGGGCTTGGAGCAACTGCTCTAGTGGAAGGTGTCCCTGCCCATGGCAGGGGGTTGGAACTGGATGAGCTGGAGGTCCCTTTCAACACAAACCAGCCTGGGATTTTGTAATATATGGGCATTTGATGCGTTATATTCACTGAAAAGGCTAGAGAGGGAAAGCTCACGCTACAGCATTGTACTCAGTATATTTAGAGGTCTGGCTAGGATAGGAAAAGACAGCTACTGAATGGCTTGTAGGCACCTGGGAAAATGCTACAAATGAGCAGATTTTATAAACTTGGCATTTTCAGATGTAAAACTTTGATTCTGAACCAATTCATATAAACTGGCTGGATGAGCAGACATCCTTCTATGTCCCACCTTCCCCAATACACCTCTACCAATGCCAGCCCACATTTTCCCAAATGGAAAAAGGACAGATGAAGAATTAGAAAGAGATAGTTCTTCACAGGAAAAATACCTAAACTTGCTCAGCTGGCCTGGTTTATTAGGAGTTTCAAAGGAGAACACAATGCTGCTTTGCCAATTCCCAGTAATGAGTTTTTGGGGGTGTTTCCAAGGCTATTTTCATTAAATGTTTCAATTTTAGAGGATGGAAAACAAGTATCCAGCAGCAACAATAACAAATTCCTCCCGAGCCCGTTTCTCACAGGAAAAGGTTCATGCAGTGCTTCAGGTCGGAAGTGGTTTTATACGTATCAAGACATAATGCAGAAAGATTTCACCAAAAGAATGCAAAAAAGGATAAAGAATAAGCCAAAAATATCCATTAGTGGCTGCTAAAAGTACACCACAGGTTAATAAACTTCAGATTAAAATGGCATTTTAGGAGAACAGCTGTGATGAGAGTACACTTAAAGTGCCTGTCAAGTCCTTTTTACATAATGCCAACCGCTTTTCTCACCAACTCAAGCCTTTTCCCAATAGGAATTTCCGTTCTCATGATTAGGTAAACTGATTCCTCCCCCAGCATTTCAACTACATTAGAAATTGTTATTTTTCAAGTTTATTACAATGTCTGAAGTCAATAAAAAAGCTTGAGAAAAAGCTCTCAATTGTTTGACTACACATGCCACAGAGACCGTGACACAGGCTATTCCGGGCTGCCTCTGATGTTACAAGGATGGGGTGGTCGGGCCAAGCTGAGAATGAAATCTGGTGCGTGGCTTATGTTGGCCCTATGTACATGCACAGTGCATCCAGCAACAGACTTCTCTTGACTTGCTTGTGATGTTAGGTGTTTAATAGCACAGAATTGACAGGACAAGGGGGAATGGCTTTAACCTGCCAGAGGGGAGATTGAGATGAGCTCTGAGGCAGAAGCTCTTCCCTGTGAGGGTGCTGAGGTGCTGGCACACGGTGCCCAGAGAAGCTGTGGCTGCCCCATCCCTGGCAGTGTTCAAGGCCAGGTTGGACACAGGGGCTTGGAGCAACCTGCTCTAGTGGAAGGTGTCCCTGCCCGTGGCAGGGGGTTGGAGCTGGATGAGCTTTCAGGTCCCTTCCAACCCAAACCATTCCATGACTCTCTAAGTTTAGAAGAGCTGAAGAGCTCAGTTGTTTTAAAAGCTTCTACAAGAGCTCTATGTATAGTATATGGTAACGTCGGGACTCACAGATCACAGATAAATTACTTCAAAGGGCAGAAGAAGTAATTTTGTCCTGCACTAGGAAACATGCACTCCACAATTTCAGTTTGATGTATGTCCCGTTTCTAATGCTAGAACTGAAAATGAGTTCTTACGGTTTTTACTACACCCACCTGAATAGCAGGACCCAGCCTTTGAAGTCCAACTAGCAGGGTGAAAGTACAGACATTAGGAAAGGAAATGGCTTCGTATTTTAGTGAGGGACTAAAATGAACAATCTGCCCTCAATGCAGCCGAGGAAAACTGGGAGGAAGAAAAACAATAGCTACAAACTGGTTTTGCTTGGTTTCACCAGCTAGGGAGTAACCTCAGAACTGAGAGTAGGTCTCCTTCTTGACATATCGTCACTGGTTCTGGGCTGAGGACATTTTTGGAGAGTGACAGAAGATTGCATAATAAAGCAGAAGTGAAGAACCATTCCACTTGTTCTGTCTCGTCTGCTTTATGACCTCCTTAAAGGTACACTGGCATTCATTTGAATGAAAACTTTTGCTGTCACTGTCCATATTTTCCATCTTCTCTATCATGATTCTGTACTTTGTCACCTTAAACTCTCACCTAGAAGCAATTCAAAGCAGTTCTCAAAGGATCTTGATGAGAAGATTTTGCCCCACCTCCCAGTCTTTCTCTATTGACTTATTTTACTTGGAAAAGGAAACAAACCAAAACCAAACCAACAAACCAAAAACCCCACCCCAAAAAAGGCACATTACCTGGAGCCAGAGCTTGTCATGCTGTGACCACTTCCCCCCAGCAATGCACTGGAATGTCGCGTTCTGTCCCACGTTCACCTCCACATTCTGTAGTCGGAGGAAATGAGGTGCTTTTCCTAACAAAAGATGAGAAGTATTGCAAGGGTAGAGCAAGGCAGTGATGGGCTTTTCATCATCACACCAGCAGATACAAACTCAGCAAAGCACCAGGGCCTATCTTGGACAAAGGGATTTTGTAAAATAAAGCTGTCCTTCAGCGTTTAACTGCTCAGTGCAGAGTGAGGTGGATGATGGACTTGACAGAGGATGGCCTGAGGGACCATAGAGAGCTCTGGCACAGCTAAAAACACAGACTGAGATCAAATCACAAGTTCATGGGCATCAGCACCATCTCTCAGTGCTTGCTATAAAGAGCAGTTGAGTAATTTCTTCTCTTCAGAAAGCTGTGTTTCTAAAAAGGTCAAAAAAACCCTCAAATGCTCCTGAGTGTGTCAAGCATGACTGACCCAAAGCCAGTTTTCCCAAGGGTCTTTTTCCCTTTTAATTTTATTGACTATCAAATACATCCTAGACCTTTAAAATAATAATGTGTCATTAATACCAAATCGGGTATTAAATTAAATTTTCATCTAACTGACAGTATTGAATCACTGCATTAGTTTAAGATCACAGATATCAGAGTTTTTCTGATACTAAATTCAGTATTAATTCAATATTAAACCACTGATATTAAAATGCAGACAGCACATTCGTTCACAAAGCAACCAGAGCAGAGGACTCCCTTTCTGACTAAATACCAGGCTCATTCACCTCTGTATATTAACATAGAAGAAAACAAAAAAGCTTGCAGTAGTGAATCTGACGCTTTTAAATGAACTTAGTTCCTCCTGGGCTTCAGAAGAGTTTGGGCACCATTTGGAACCATTGAGCAGGACACACTGAAACAGCCTTATGAGACTCCAAAGGTCAGAGATTTTCAACTTCATCTTTGCATTTCTAGTATGATTAGACACCAAGGAAATAATTTCAGAGGACACTAACCCATATTTTTCTATTGGAACCAAATAGCTTCAAAAGGATTTGGGCATCTGTGTCTGTGCAGGAAGCTTCACACAGAAGTATTTGTGTACTACAGACACATGAACAGAGAACACACACCAGATGTTTGTATCTAGCTTCTGTATCCCATTCACCACATGCTCAGCATGCTGACACCTCCTGAAAGATAATGACTGTACCATCATGCTCTCTGGGGATCAGCAATTGGCACCAAAGTTTACTGGAACACTACCTGTGGGTGACAGAATGTACTACATGCTATTTACAGGCTAACACTAGTACTTTCTGCCTGCAGTCTTGTGTGGGCAGATATAAGCCAGCTCCACATATGAAGCTGTCTGGAGTAGGTGAGTGCAGTCACATGAACCCCAGACTCCTCGTTCAGAGCATGAGGCTGGCCTATGACTGCACACACGGTCACTGCGATTTAGCATCATGAGAATCAATACTGCACTGCATTCCTTCCCAGGACAGAAAAAAAGGCAACACCAATGAAATAGTTATTTGTCTCCATTACTGTGTCATCAGGGGCACTACACTGTGGTTTTCCTGCTACTTAGGTCTGTCTGCTGTGCTGTCATCTCTGAAGGTAAAGCAGAAATGCGTAACACCAGTAATTTCAGTAACCACCAGGGCCATCAGGAGTATCATGGTTCCCATGGCTTGAGTTCTACCAATTGCAAAAAGAGTATGAGGGGCAAAGCTTGTACAAGTCAATGGAACAGACTCTGGTGACATTTACCCTGGTGGGTGTCATCACTCAGCACAAAAGCAATGCTGGCAATCAGACAGGAGAAGCATTTACAGAGACCCTGCAGCTTGTACTGAGTTCTGTATGCTGCGGGTTGCAAACCAATTCAAAACGGAGTAGTCAACTGTTTGAATCACTTCTCTTTGGGTCACCAAGAATGCACTCAGTTCTTAAAAGGGACCTGCATATATTGGAGTAATGGATTATAAAACAGTTTAAATACTTCAGTTAAATTAAGCAGGGGTGTAACACAGCATCCTTTCTCTGGTTTTTAATCCCATGCCTTGTCCAGGCTTCACCCCGCAGTTCAGTGTCCTGTCTCTCAGTGAAGAAATTGGTCATCACCCAACAGTCTGTGAAACACATACAGACCATTTGGGGAATATGTCTGTATGCTGCAGTTATCAGCAACATCTGGTTCATACAGATTCTAAGTATTTCTTAATGAAGTAAGTGCACCCAAAGGCCTGAGCAATGAGCACATGGTAAATACAAATATAATTCAGTTAAGCAGCAATTAACCATACTGCAGTTATCAGGAATGTCCTGTTAGACTTGAGCAGAACCGTATCTGTCACATTGAGTGGCAGCTGTTCTCTGAAATCCTCATTGCAAGAAAATCAGTTGATTTTACTCCATCGATATGATCCATGAATTTTTGTGTGAGCAGCTGTCATGGACTGACTAAAACTATGGCCCAGCGAGAGGGGCTGCTAAAGGCTGTTAAAGCAAATTAAATCTTCAGAAGAAATTGCATATGACATCCACAAACCAGACACACAAAGTCCTCAAGCCACACTGTAGATGCACAGAGAAACCAAACAAGTTTAGACTCAAAGACTAAGGATAAAGGTTTCCTTAAATAGAAAAAAACATATATCTAAGTGTATTATTATGGCTACAGTAGGGGAAACATGACACGAATATTCTGAACAGTATGATGAACCTGCTTTAGCTTCCTCTCCTGTACAAGTGTATTGTCTGACTGAGATTTAATGATAAGATCTTTATGGGCTGAGTGGGTTTAACCTTTGTTGAGAAACCTTTAGGATATGTCCTTTACCAAGGAGATACTGAAACTATTTGTTTGTTCCTGAAGTTACCCACACAGGATATCATCAGAAGCTTTTCAAATTGTTTTCTACAGCAATATGATTCAGAAATAATAAAACAATCAGTTTTATGTTCTCATAACAAAAGAGGAAAAAAGACTTCCACAGATGGCCTGGCGCTAGCTACAGCCTGAGAGCACATTTGCCTCTTGCACAACTTGCAAAGTTAGATAATTATACAAAGCTGATTGTCTTTATGTGTCTCAGAGGGATACGAGATGACATTTTAGTGCTGACCAAATTGGGTAACTCACTCCTTTAGACTGTAAAGTGTGGTAATAATACACTGATATGGTTAGAAAAAACAAAGAGTGCTCACTGCATGGATGGGCGAGAACTCTGACTTCATCCACAGCTATGTACCCTGGGTGTCCTTTCAAAGAGACAGACTCAAATATCACCTGAAACACAAAACAAGAAAAGTTTTCTTAAGAAGAATGGTTACACTTGGCCAGACACCAAGTTCTGCTCTTACTCCAGCATCTGAGTCATTCAAGGCATTTCCATCAGGAGTAACGAAGGGATAGCAAGGCAATTCAGTCTGTACAGGTATACCAAAGACTGGAAATCTGTTTGATATGAAAAATAAAGTTAGAGCAACATTCATTAGGATTAGAGACAACTATGTGCTGCTTGTTTTTGGAAGAGCAAAACATACCCTGTGTATATACACACCTATATTCACTTTAAGCACCAGCCCAAGAACATTAGGTGGATTATTATTTGACATCTTGTTCTCAGTATGCCCGGGAATGTTGAAGAATGCTGTACATGCATGTACTATTGAACCAATAACCCTGCATGGATTCTCCTGGACAACACCTCCAATTTGGCACACATGCCACTGCAAGACTGGAAAGCAAATCGTGAGCAACGGATGATCCTGGATTCTAGTTATTAGGCTGAAATAGGAATCTCCCAGATACAATGAAGTTGTTTCTGCCTTTCCCTGGCTTGAACTAACATAATCTGAGAATAAATATTCACAAAACCCACATGTAGTATTTCTCTACATTAACGGTACACTAACTAGCAATTTCTATATTATGTGTGTAGCTGGGCAGTGAAAGTGTTCCACTAGTTTGGGTCTGAATAAACAGATACCCAGTTACAGAAGAACCAAAATCTCATTCTTCCCTATGGCTTTGAGATTTTACCCGGAAAACTGCCCTGAAGTATCCTGTTACCAAAAATATACAGGCTATCCCAAAATCAGCAGTGCTAGTAACTGCAAAAAAACAGAGATTATTAAAAGTAAGTTAACTACTGCCAAATAAACTAACCGAAAGTTCAGGAGAAAACAGCATTAAATATGATGCAGTTTGATCAACAATTAAAGGATATTAAGACATATAATCACAGAGTACACCTTATTCAGAGGGAGCAGTGTGGGGAGGTGCTGAGCTCCTCTCTGGTCACCAATGATAGGACAAGGGGCAATGGATTTAAACTGAAAAAGTGTAGATTTATATTAGACATTAGGCAGAAGTTCTTCCCTGTGAGGGTGCTGAGGCACTGGCACACGGTGCCCAGAGAAGCTGTGGCTGCCCCATCCCTGGCAGTGTTCAAGGCCAGGTTGGACACAGGGGCTTGGAGCAACCTTCTCTAGTGGAAGGTGTCCCTGCCCATGGCAGGCGGGTGGAGAGCTGGAGGAGCTTTAAGGTCCCTTCCAACCCAAACCAGTCTGGGATTCCACGATTCTATGAAATGGAATGAAGCTGCATCAGGGGAAGTTCAATTGGACAGTAGGAAAAGGTTGTTCACTGAGATAGTGATCTGCCTCTGGACATGCTCCCTGGGCTACTTGTTTCATAGGAGAAAATCTTGCAGTAATTTGTAACCTCTAGCACAGTGATCAGGGCACCGAGCTGGCCAGAGTTCACACAGGGTCTGGACTGCTCATAGGTAGTCCTGTGAGGAACAGGGAGGTGGACTCAACCATCCCTATGGGATTCCTTCCAACTTGAGCCATCCTGTGGTTCTGTGAGGAAAAGGGAAGTTTAGAAATGTTAAGCTGCAAGAGAAAACAGAAAACTGCAGCCTGATTATTTAACATCCTGGTGGTGCTACCTCTCAATTAGTGATTCTCTTCCCAAAGGAATTCTTTACTACTCTGAAAAAGAATGAATGGAGGGAGATGTAACGGATGCCATCCTCTGCATTTGAAACATGTCCTCAGTTTCATTCCCAGAGTAATGCTCACACTGTTCTAAACTGCTCATCTATGCATGAGTACACGATCATATTTGCAAGGACAGAGTGAATTAACATGTTCGGCTGGCACCGTTACCACTATCAGAGCAGGATTCCAGTGCAGATACTTGTGTCACAGGAGAAAACGCTTCAGTAATTTGTAACCTCTAAAATTCACCACTTGAACACGAAGTCAAGCCAGTTTTCAACACTTATTTTCACTCTAACTAAAAGCTGGTATCCCCAGCCTGCCACTGTTTAGCCTCTTCTTCAGCTCCTTCATCAGATTTAACCCAGGAAAAGATTCAGCTGCCCAAAGGCAGGTCACTGCACACCCTGGCTATGAAAGTGGAGCAGTGTGTCCTTTGGAAGTACAGAACTGTCCTAAATCATTTAGCTTTGCATCTGGGCTTCCAGAATGTAATTTCTATTCATGTTTCCATGAATTCCTAAGATCTGCTTCCCTAATTCAAAACACATCCACATGTGAGACCTTTGGAAATCCATCCATTAGGAAAAAAGACATCATAAAATCATGTAGAACACAAAAACTAACAGCAAAGGTATAAACTAAGAAGAAATAGTTAAATACATAGAAACAAAGTTCTACTCCAGAGGAAGGTGGACAAAAACTAGGAAGGAACAATTGTACAAGGAACATTAGAAGGAAGCAAGTCTCTGAAAGACAGTAACAATAAAAAAACCCAAGTGTTTTGTTATCGAGGCTCTTGAGATGCTTCTTAGGGGCTGCATAAAATCAGACTATAATGCAAGTCCTTATTATGGAAATTAAAACAATCTTAGAAATGAAATGTCATTAATGGTAAAAACTACACTTCCTGAGGAGGGCATGGAAGGAACTGCAGCTCCCTTCAGCCTTCAATTCCAGTGTAACATTACAGCTACAAAATCCTCTTTCGGTTTTGCATTAGTGAGAAGCTGTAAAGCCACAAAGAACTAAATTTCAATTTCCTGCAAGCCAAGAACTTGGAAAGAAAAGTTCTCCAAGGCACTGGCATTTAGTGCATGGCAAATGGAAGTACTGATACACAGAGAATTGCCTTCTGTTAATTACAACATGTCCAGAGGCTTTAATGCAACACAATATAACTTACACTGGTAAGAGTCAGCTCTACAAAACCCATGCACACCGGTGCAGAACCCACTGGGAAGGGTGGCGGATTCCTCTCAAGTCACACAACATTGTTCTGACAGACTAAGCTATTATCCCATCCTCTTTACACTTGGATATTCCTGTTACTTCCCAGTTCAAATTTCCATGTTGTCTTCATGTGTATTTTGGAGCATCTCAGCCCTACCAAAGCAAGAAGAGCACGGAAACATCCAGGTTTTCCTGAGAACAGGGAATTGAGACCCAACATGAGGAAAAGGCAGGAATAAACGCTGATGGGGCTCAGCTCTGCAAATTTCACACTATCTCTCACATCCTTTTAACTCCTGTTGGAAATGCAGTGTAATGGTTGAGACGCAGGCTTTTAACAATGCTTTACATTTAAGAAACTTCCCAAAAATTAATATAGATGAAAAACTGCAAAGCTTTACTCTAAAAAAGCATTCTAAAATGCTCAGGAGACCTGGCAATACTAAGTCATTTCATGTTCCCTTACCAATAAACAATCCTACACTTCACTGCTGCTCTATACCAACAGCATCTACGTTAGCCTGGCTCATCTGTTGTGGTATAACAGTTTTCTTCAGGCATGGATCAATAACATTCCTTGCTATACATCAAAAAACCTCTTCCAGGCAGGCTCCTGCGCTGCCCTTGGTGCATTCTGGGACTAAGCTCATCCTTATGGCAAGCAGTAACTCAAGATTACATGTATTACCTTTCTCCGAGAACTATTACAGCTTTTTCTCACTACAATCAGAACATCTGCAGGCTGGGAATCCATGCACGAGTAACTCCAGGGCAGACATCATAAATCTCCACCACCCCACCATTTATAGCTCAGCAGAGAGCTTTTGGATCCAGATGACTCTTGTGACCCTTGCACAGAACTACCAGACCCAAAACACAACCTCTGGCAATTGGCTGGTTACCAGTTTTCCACTAGTCCCATCTCCAAAGCCCAAAGTAGGTGTGGAAGTCTCAGACCCAGGGCATGCAGGGTTTGCCTGACTGAATTTTTTATGCACACTGCAATTCAAGGTGGTGGTTTCTGTGCATTAAGAGAATAACCGAACATTTTGCTTGACACAGATGTCATGATTTGGGAAAAATGTTCTTTTTTCTGTGTTCCTTGTTGCTTTTGATAACACAGAACATGCTTTCAGGCCTCTTTATGCACAAAGAGTTCTCCAGGCATGCAATTTTCATTTAAAGTTGACAAGTAACACTCTGATGGCACATGCTAGTTAGAGAGTGTGAAAGAGGACACTGCCTAAGCAACAGCACACCCAGGCTTGGGTCATCCTGCACCTCAGGACTCCCTCAGCCACAAGTGTCACTGCAGGCTGCCAAATAACAGTAATTTTGACCAAGTCCTTCATTGTGTTTTCTTCCTCACTTTTGCAAGCTTAAAGTCTTCTTTTTCTTTTTTAAACCTTGGATAAATGTAGAAACTCACAGACCATCATCAGGAGTGGTTTATGAAATCAGGGACTGAGGATAGGTCAGTCCATTAGATTCCCTGTAACTTCACTTGCAGCACTGGAGCTGTTGGAGCAAGTCTAGAGGAGGCCACGAGGATGGTCAGTAGTTGGAGCAGCTCCCATATGGAGACAGGCTGAGAAAGTTGGGGCTGTTCAGCCTGGAGAAGAGAAGCTGCATGGAGACCTCAGAGCAGCTTCCAGTGTCTGAAGGGGGCTACAAGGATGCTGGGGAGGGACCTTCATCAGGGACTGGAGTGACAGGACAAGGGGTGATGGGTTCAAACTGAAACCATAGGGAACTGAAAAAATAGGGAAGTTCAGGTTAGATATAAGGAAGAAGCTCTTCCCTGTGAGGGTGCTGAGGCGCTGGCATAGGGTGCCCAGAGAAGCTGTGGCTGCCCCATCCCTGGCCGTGTTCAAGGCCAGGTTGGACACAGGGGCTTGGAGCAACCTTCTCTAGTGGAAGGTGTCCCTGCCCGTGGCAGGGGTTTGGAGCTTTGAGGTCCCTTCCAACCCAAACCATGCCATGATTCTGTAACAGTGGGATCAATCTCAAAGCCACACTTAAGGAGTAAGAATAACAAATACAAGCAGAAAGAAACATTACCCCATTCAGCAAAAAGTAAAACAGAAAACCCTTGCATTTCCAGGGAGGAACTCCTCCTGAGTACTTGCTGCTGCCTCCAATCTGTTCATTTTGCATTACACTGAAAAAAATCTTGTCTGATTTAAAGGATTTTTGCTCAGGAAAAGCAAAATTGACCTGCAAAAGGACTCACAAAAGAAGTAAGGCAGGCTCAGGAATTCCGCTATTGGTATAGCTAAGGACAGGAGCTCTCTTTGTGTGAGATCAGCCTGTCTTTTCCAGGTTTTTCAAGAACCAATTATCTGGGTGAAAGATCATTCCTGTTATCTCTGTGGAGCACCTACTACGAAGCAAATTCTGGTTCATGTTAATCTGAATGGAGTATAAGCATTTCACTGTGACTTCAGAGCAAGGGAAAAGTTGTTCACAGGCCTTAAAAGACCACTTTCCACCCATTTGCATCCCTTTATCCCTTCCACTCACCCTGCATAGTGTGCCTGTATGTATGCTGCTGCTATCCCCAACTCTTTTCCACAGGTGGAACATGAAAGCATTCTACTTCAGTTCTGATTTTACAGACTTCCAATCCCGTTATTAGAAGCAAATAAAAGGAAGAAAAAACATAAGCAAGCTTTTCTACCTGCTCTTTCCTATTCACAGGTTATTTGTGGACTTTTCATAGTTTATTCTATCCTCATTACACTCTCATAGGATCACACACTGATTTGGGTTGGAAAGAACCTTAAAGCTCATCTAGTTCCAAGCCCCTGCCATACACCTTCAACACCCGGTATGTGAGTCCATTGTGAGGAATCTTATCTAATTAAAACTAAAACAGTGATGGCAAAGTTGCCACATACAGTTTGAAGTGGACGACTAACAAGTTGCTATAAACTAATGTAACCAAAAAACAACTTAGCCATTACATGCATCAACTTTGTGCTTGTTTTGAAAGAAATAAATCTCAGAACAAGCACAACTTCATTAGGAGCAGTTCTAAATTGAAGAGGAACAGAGGATCTGGTGAAGAGTACACCCATGTTGATACCATGCTACAAGATCTTATTAGTAGCTTATGTACTTTTACCACTCCTATGGGCACGGGAAAAGTCCAGATGCAACGCTGAGTGAACAAATGTTCCTTCTTATGGAACCAATCACAGGCCAAAAACAGTTAAGGCAAATTTCTGCAGAGATGCAGTTCCACATCCGAACACTCGATTCTATTTACATTTACAGTGGCATGAAAAGTGCCAAACTCTATTTATATACCAATTTCATGATAAATAAGTGGGTCTTAGCTTGCCAATACTGTGACTCAGGCCCTATCCATCACCCTGTGACCTGGCAACTGAAGAAAAAGGGTGAAGTAGGAAGAACTCTGTCAAGATGCCTATAGAACCCCTCTGCTATGGAAATGCTATAGGTAAATTCATTCTGATGGGGGGAGGGGAAGGACAGATGATGTTCAGAATTGTTGCTAACAACAGCTAATCTCATACCCAGCCAAATGTTCTAAGGAAGAACATTCCAAACTCATACCTGATAAAAATGTGGCCAGAACGTACTGATGGCAAGTTCTGCTTTCACCCATCCTTCAGTAACAACCCCCGAGACATTCCATATGGGATTGCCCTGTGGTCCTCCGTTCACCTTCACGTAGACATTCAGAGAGCCGGGACTTGAACGGTCTCGGCTGGACAGGTAATAGTGGAAGTCGATGCAGTGGGTGTCATTTTCCTTCAGAGTAGGCAAGAGCAGGTGAGCTTTCTGCCCAGATGCTCGCCCAGAGCTGTTCACCATCATGAAGGAGCCTATGAAAGAAAGCAGAAAGAGAAGAAAAAGTGGGTTTACCTGGCTTTTGCAGTAAAAGATAAGCCGTGGCTGCTCCATCCCTGGCAGCGTTCAAGGCCAGCTTGGACACAGGGGCTTGGAGCAACCTGCTCTAGTGGAAGGTGTCCCTGCCTGTGGCAGGGGGTTGGAGCTGGATGAGCTTTAAGGTCCCCTCAACACAAACCAGGCTGGGATTCTGTGAAAAACAGTTTCATTAGAAAAGTCAGTGATTCCCTTAGAAGCCAGAAAACAAACCATCCATCTGAAGAGCTCAAACTAAGTATTCTATGCTCATTGTTAGGTAACAGAAAGAAAGGATATTAAAATTTAGGGTGTATATATATATACAAATAAATTCAGGGCCAAGTAGAAGCACTTTAATTAGACAATTTCAAAAATCAAAATAAAAACACTGGGCTCTCATGGATGATTTTATAATCTGTGATAAAACAGGCCCTGTAACCAGCAGCACAGACACACTTCAGCAGCAGTGAGGCTCTCCTACCGTGCAGCCACTCAATGGCACATTCAATAGGAACTAGTACAAGGGATCCAACTCACAGCTGATGTCTGCCTACATGGCCCCTTACGCTTTCAAGCCAATCTGTACCTGTACCTTGGCACTAGAAACTTAGGAAGGTTGTAATGTGTTAAAAATAAAACCAAACTGTTTTCAGAGCCCAACAGCAACACCTCGACTAGAACTAATGCAACAAGGACAATTATTCTTCTAGGAAGGAAGGACAGGCTGAATTTAGAGAAGGAAATACATACTAAGGCAATTTATGAGTTGGTTAACCTGGAAGCTTGCATCATATTAACCATGGTGCCTGATGTTGAACTGGCATTTTGATTCATCAAGCCGTTATTTCATAGCACATTGTGTCTCAGCTCATGTCGTTGCAGATGCATCAAGGTGACAAATGTTAGCAATAAGGCAAAACATTATGAGAGTTATTTGATTCAGTTCTGTTGAAAGGCTCTCCTTTATCTGTGTGCAGACACTCACCCTTGGAGAAAGCTAAAGAAAATAACCGAGAGTGGGGGGAATCTGTGTGTCAGCAGCCAGGCATGATAATTTTTAATCAAACACAGCCCTCTCGACATGCTGGTTCTGATGCTGCTGATGTTTCTCTCTGCTGGCCTCTTGCAGCTCCCAGAAGACTGAGTTTGAAAAGCTATGCCTCACTCCTAACCTATTGACTTCTCTATTCCAGTAGGGTGACACTGTGAGGAGCCTGATAACCATTTTGATCAATTCTGAGCAGTGAACAGCCAGATATTCTAAACTATATCAACAGAAACCAGCAACTTTCTCCTACAAATATGCTTTTTTCCCTTGTGTTTCTATGATAGATGGGCGTTTTGTAAAGCAGTGAAAAGCATGGATGCAGAAGGGAGGCAATCTTTCAAAGAAACAGAAAACACTCACTCTAGAGGCCTCAGGAAATTCAAGCCCAATGCAAGGAAGAGGGTGTGCTAAGAAATAGGAAAACTGAGAGGCAAGATGCTCTCTGGCAATCCTATGTTTCATTTTGATATGCTGAAATCACAATGGCTCCAAACCAAGACATTCCAGATTCACAGCACGACTTCAAGAAATGTTAAGAGCTGAATCCAAACTTTTTATATGTCTTTAATAATCAAAGTCCTTAACATGGGATCTTGACACATGTTCACTGCTGATATAATTCTGCTCCCCGTCAACCACAAAATCTCCTTCTTCAGCAAGTACATACTAATCTTAATCTACCCAAGTAAACTGAAGTGCAGAGAATCTGGGATTTAGATTCTGTTTCTCTGGCCCAAGATAAGTGGTTGTCAGGAAGTACAACTGACAAGAGGTGTGAAGAGGCAGCACAGGCAGACAGTTAAGGCTGGAAACCTGACAGACAGCCTGGATTCTAAGAGTAATTGTGACACTTCCTTTAATAATCTCTGTCAGCACACAGTCTGCCTGCTCTTCCCTTACAGATAAAGCAAGAACCGTTGTAAGAACCACTCTTCTACTCTGGGACAGTGCACAAGAGGGACATGGAGCAGCTGGAGCGAGGCCAGAGGAGGCCCCGGAGCTGCTGCGAGGGCTGGGGCAGCTCTGCTCTGGAGCCAGGCTGAGAGAGCTGGGCTGGGGCAGCTGCAGAAGAGAAGGCTCCTGAAGAGGACACCTTAGAGCAGCTCCAGTGCCTAAAGGGGCTCCAGGAAACCTGGAGAGGGGCTTTGGACAAGGGATGTAGGGACAGGACAAGGGGAATGGCTTTAATCTGCCAGAGGGGAGATTGAGATGAGCTCTGAGGCAGAAGCTCTTCCCTGTGAGGGTGCTGAGGCGCTGGCACAGGGTGCCCAGAGAAGCTGTGGCTGCCCCATCCCTGGCAGTGTTCAAGGCCAGGTTGGACATAGGGCTTGGAGCAACCTGCTCTAGTGGAAGGTGTCCCTGCCTGTGGCAGGGGTTGGAACTGGAGGAGCTTTAAGGTCCCTTCCAACCCAAACCAGTCTGGGGCATGTTAAGTGTTTCAATGATAGAAAAAGTTAGGGAGAAATTCACTTGTACAGATTTCTGTATAAAAGCAACAAGCTTTCGTCAGGGAGAAAACACATCAGCTCGTAGAAAGAGTTCGAAGCACTAATCACAATTTGATTTTTGCCACCCACAAAAAGTGAATCACAAGGTACAACAATGGCCTTTTGTGCAAGTGCTGACAACTCTAGAGAGAGCATGGAGCCTGAATCTAGGAACTGACAACATGAGCAAGTAAAACATCCATCCACCAAAAAGCACTTAGCAAAATCATTAGTCCGACTTACGAAAGAATAGCCTTACAAGCTACTGTCATATGCAAATTATTCACAGCTCCCTATTTACAGCTTAAGATTTATTTTTCATACAGTATGTCTAGAGACACAGGAAAAAATCCTATAAAAACACAACTGCCTGGTGAAGTCATGGTAAGAGGCATTAATTTATATGGGAGTGGAAAACATTAAATATTTCCATTTATAGTGCCATCTGTCAGAGAAAAGTACTCACACCTTGTCTAGAGCAGTTTGTTATATACTAACTAAGCCACACTCCTTATTTCTGCAGAGACTGAAGTGTAGCAGGTCCCACAACACCCGCTGTCTCTGGCTGGCCAAGGCACAGGCACAGCACCTCCAGCCTGCCCACTGTGGGGGTACTCACAGTTCATTCACAAGACTATCCTAACCTACACCATTCAGTTGTGGGCACATTATTATACCCTGTGCTCTGTAAACTGGCCTCCAAATGTACCCATCTGTACACATTCTTATTTTTCCATTCCACAGCATGAACTTGAATGGGTGTCCTGTCCCCTGTCCTCTAAGACCTCCCAGTTGTCGCTCTGCATGCTCCAAGATCAGCAGCTGAGATCACTGTCCTACTGACAGAGGGGAGATTGAGATGAGCTCTGAGGCAGAAGCTCTTCCCTGTGAGGGTGCTGAGGCGCTGGCACAGGGTGCCCAGAGAAGCTGTGGCTGCCCCATCCCTGGCAGTGTTCAAGGCCAGGTTGGACACAGGGGCTTGGAGCAACCTGCTCTAGTGGAAGGTGTCCCTGCCCGTGGCAGGGAGGTGGGGGTGGGGGGGCTTTGAGGTCCCTTCCAACACAAGCCAGTCTGGGATTCTATGATTCCATGCCCAGTAAAGCTTGTCTGGGCAGGATACATCACTTGGAGGTACATGAGAAATCATGGAAATTTGGAGGAAGGCACAGCGCTTTAGTGACAATTGTGGTTTTCCTTATTATCCCTAATAAAATTGACATTTTATCACAATTGACTTTGTGGTTCAGAGCCTGACAGCCTTCTTCAGCCTGAACAAGGAATTGAGGCTGATGGGATTTATTCTCAATTTACAGGCCTGTATGTGCAAATAAAAGAGATACAATCTGGTCTGGCACCAACAAAGCACTTGCCACATATTCCACTCCTATAAAGAACTAGAGAATGAATTCACATGTCACAAATGGAAATTATTGATCAGTGGATGACCGAAAGCCACTTCAGTGTCTGCAGACAAGAATGTGAATAAAACCCAAGGTATCTTGGAGAAACTCTAACTTAGACCATTGCATATCCAATTCTGCAGAGTAGTAACGGGAAAAATCATTTGGCCTTGTTTTGTTCACCTCCATCCAGCAACTTCCTGTGCCATAAACACTGAAGGGAAAAAAAGATATATTTTTTTCTGTGGAAAAATTATAGTTATTGGATGCAGAAATAAGCAGCTTGACTATCAGGTCAATGAAACTTAGTGCTCTTGGATCAACAGGTCAGAGGAACTAATATCTTGCTGGTTTTGTAGTGTGTAAGAGAAGTGAATGTGTTGTGTTGGGATGAGCCAGAAGCAGGAGGCTGGGAAGCTGGTAAATAAATTCATTTTTAAAACTCCCCTCAACCCCCAGGCCCATAAAGCAGCACTCTCTCATAGTTATTAAACATAGCACTGGAAATTGGGAAATTAAACCATGAAGCGCTCTCTTGCTGGCCATAAATTTCAATTTTTCCCCTGCTTGGTGCATAATGATGCCTTGATAAGCGTCCTATTATTGATGCATCTGCAACGTATCTCCTCTTTCTGGAGCTGAAATGCTACTCGGTAGCAGATGGTGGCTATTGTGTTTACACATCAGCACTTTATGATTGCATTTTCTCACGTCTGCAGTAAAAAGAAAGCCATAATTGAGTTTTTAATGGCTTTGCACATTGTTCATTAAGATTACATGAGTGTGTGCTGACAAATGACAGCTGAAGAAATGAGGCACCAAGAACCCTCATGATCACCACACAGACCTCAGCTGATGTGGTTTCATTACTGGCTTTGAAGAACAGGGCTCTTTAAAAGTGAAATTATAGCAACCATTAAAGGCTGAATGTAAACTTGAAAAAAAAGCTGTCAAAACGCTCAACTGCAAAATGAGACTTGGGGAACCTTGAAAACCACAATCAGGTACATCCTGTTCTCTTA